TACAGGCATACCTCGACTTACGTCGTTTCGAGTTACGTCGTTCCCGATTATACGTCGCTTGTTAAAAAAGTATATGGAAAAATAAAAATCAAGTTTAAGTCATTTTATTCGACTTTACGTCTGTCCGCCACAAATATTGAAGTCGTAATATCACTAGATAAACGTTTAAAGCACATAAAATCATATTAAAATATATACAAGTATGTACTGTATTTACAGTACATGCATTCGTAAATTTAGATTACTTTTTTTTGTACTATATTAAAAACTAAAATTTATTTGTTTGTAAGCTTAAAATAGATCCTTATTAACCATATATTATTAAAAATGCATTAATAAATAAAATACAGAACTGGAAATGGTAATTTACGGTTTAGCCTAGTGATAAGTAGATTCGGAGACAAGTAAATTCGACTTACGTCGTTTTCCTGGAACCAATTACCGACATAAGGCGAGGTATACCTGTATTAAAATGAGTAATTATTTATCATGATTAATAAATAAAATTATACTCTTCACATCAATAATTGTTCATTAAATAAATAAAACTGTCTTTCAGAGTTAAAATTCTTTAATGATATTGAAATTAGCACTTCGATGATGATAAAATAACCATTGTAGTGATGATAACTGATTGCATCAAAGATTTAATATTAAATTTATTATTTATTTGTTTTAAGTATTTCTTTTTCAACTATTTAATACTTTAATTAAAACTAATTGTTTTTAAATTGTAGATCTTCAGACAGAAGGAAAAGCAATCGCTTCTCCAGTTCCTCTTGTAGATCAATCTTTTACATGTCGAGATCAGGATGATAATTACCAAGTTCAGTTATACCATGAACAAATTAGGCAACAATACTCACAGGAACAAGTTTCTTTTCAGCAGCCAGTACAAGATGTTAATGTTTCAGTTGCTTCTGCATCTGGTAATTAAATATCTTTGAACTATAATTAAAGTTTAATTTTTTTTAATGTAGTCTTTTTAATAACATTTATATCAAANTTATTTATCATGATTAATAAATAAAATTATACTCTTCACATCAATAATTGTTCATTAAATAAATAAAACTGTCTTTCAGAGTTAAAATTCTTTAATGATATTGAAATTAGCACTTCGATGATGATAAAATAACCATTGTAGTGATGATAACTGATTGCATCAAAGATTTAATATTAAATTTATTATTTATTTGTTTTCAGTATTTCTTTTTCAACTATTTAATACTTTAATTAAAACTAATTGTTTTTAAATTGTAGATCTTCAGACAGAAGGAAAAGCAATCGCTTCTCCAGTTCCTCTTGTAGATCAATCTTTTACATGTCGAGATCAGGATGATAATTACCAAGTTCAGTTATACCATGAACAAATTAGGCAACAATACTCACAGGAACAAGTTTCTTTTCAGCAGCCAGTACAAGATGTTAATGTTTCAGTTGCTTCTGCATCTGGTAATTAAATATCTTTGAACTATAATTAAAGTTTAATTTTTTTTAATGTAGTCTTTTTAATAACATTTATATCAAACATATGCTGTTTTATCATTAATAAGATTCAAAAAATATTGAAAAAATGTTTTAGCCAGAAGGGTTTGGATAATTTTTTCATTTAATAATATCTTTATTAATATAAAAATGTAGTTAAGTGTGTGTATGTATGAATACTTCAAACAGAATTATGAACAGGATTTTGTCTTAGATCCTGGAAAAAATAAAACTTGAGAATAAAAATCAAATACAAACATTTTAGATTTATCATCTTTATTACGTTTTCTATTAGAAATTATTCATATCTATTATATATTTCATAAAACATAATTTAAAACGTGAATAATTTTAAAATCATTTGGGACAAATTTTTATATAGAAATTTTTAGTAACTTTTATCATTTTAGCATCTTCAATTGAATACAGAATAATGATTTAAATAATAATTATTAAATTATCATTCCTCTAATAGTTACATTTATTTACATAAAGTATTTGTTTTAATTGTTTAGTTTTCTTGTATTAAAAACTGCCACTATTAAAACATTTCATTTAGTTTATAAATAAAATTGCTTCTTATACAGTTTTGCTATTTTAATTTGTAAAATGAACTGTTTTGTTTTGTTTAGAAAATCAATTGGCATTTATCAATTGACTTGTGGTATTGTTTTCAAAACTTATCTTATATCAATTTGTTTACTATAATGTAGCAGATGTCTAACCAATAATCTATTTCCTCCCACATTCATGTCAGTATATCATGGTTAACCAATTCCACAGCTGCAGTGATATGGTCATGCAGTTTCTGGAGATTAGGAGGAATGTCAGCACAAAGATAGTGTCCTTAATGAATTTCCATTAAAAAAGTCACATGAGTTAAGCTCAGTGACTGGGGTGGCCACAGTTTGTTCACTTTGCCCTTGACATCCAGCCTTCATCCCAGAATTTCACATAGCATTTTAGGATAATGTACACAGGTTGCTCCTTATGGAATTTTGCTCAAAATTGTTGCTATACAGTCACAATGGATGAGATTCTTGCATATTCCAATACACAAAATGGCTTTCATGTTTGCTTAGCATCATATTTGCTACAACAATCTTAGCAACAAGTCATGGCAACTATTCACATGTACTATTCCTGAAAAAAAATTTGGAGTTTACTTTTATTTTAATGTTAAAAAATAAAGTATATGTTGTATAGTTTATGAATAATAGATTTTTTAAATGTTTTATGGACTTATGAATAATCCTGCATATAAACATAAAAATGTATGTACCTAACATTACAAAATTAAGAACTTTCAAAAAACATTGATTACAAAAATATATTTGAATTTCATCTAAATAATATAATTTGATCATGGCACTGCAGACCAAATAGCTGACTTCAGAAAAGTGTTTGTCTTAGAAATTATGTAATTTCTAAAAAATATTAATTGTAAATTTGTTCTAGGAATAGTAAGCAGTACACCAAGTATTCAACAGTATGCTCCTGTTTATCAAACTACAGCAGCAGCATATTCTACAGCATTAATTGCTACTTCACATGTGCAACAGTCAGTAGCCAGCAGCCAAAGTATCCAACATCCATTAACAGCAGCAGCGACACCAACATCTCCAGTACCCATTTTAAATCCTGCAACACATGCACCATTAAATACTAGTAATCCACCTGTTCAAGAAGAAAGTAATCATCATCAACCATTCACGCAACAAGAAGAACTTCCACTTCCACCGGGATGGTCTGTTGACTATACTATGAGAGGTCGTAAATATTATATAGACCACAATACCAAGACAACACATTGGAGTCATCCATTTGAAAAAGAAGGTTTACCCACTGGATGGGAAAGGATTGAATCACCAGATTTAGGTGTCTATTATGTCAAGTAAGTGCTGTGCTGTATAATTACACATTTAATATTTTGAGTTTTAAAGATAAATTTAAAAAATATGTATTAATGATTTCATAGAAACAAATTTTTAATTTAAATCCAATGATTATATTTATGTATATATGTTACCATGAAAGACCGAAATTAGAGAATGTCGATATTCTCCGGTGAATGTCGACACATACAAAATACGTTGGAGAAAGACCGAATATTTGGTTATATTATTATACATTCGAACAATTGCCAGTGTATGTTGACAAGCACAGACATAGATAGATAGATAGATATTTTATTGTAACTTACTGGAGTACAGTAAATACTGGGTGCCACAAATGTATAACCCAGTTAGACATGGTACTAGATACATAGAAATACATGGATACATAATATGAGTGAGATAATATAAATTTAAAAAAATAATGATGATAATAAAGAGAAAATTATTTACAAATATATACAATGTAATGTTAGCAAAATGAAAACAAGTGTAATATAAAATACAGAATTAAAGTTTTGATACATTGGTACATGAAATACAGAGATTGCAAATACAAATAAGCGTGGATGTGTAAATTTAACATACAATATCAAGAGGAATTAAGTAATTAAAGTAACACAACATAATAGAGAAAAGTAATGATGTTGCTATACAGAGTAAATAAATATACACAAGTTTACTCAGGGGTAAAGGACATCAGTACAATGCACTGAGGACATGGTTACAGGTTAGGTGCATGTGACGACAACATTGCAGAAGACAGATGTAGGAGAATGACCTGCAGGCATGTGAGGCAGTTAGATGTAAGCAGTGACACACACACACACACATCTTTTAATGTCATAACCAATGTTGCATAACTGGTTCCACAGTAAGCACTGCCAGTTTACAGATGTTTTAGGTATTACAAATGTTATAGTTACAATTACATTTGGGTTGAAATTTTTACAAAGTGCAAGAGTAATATGCATTATAGCATAAAGTATTACAATGAGAGGTTGGTATATATAAGTTTACAATTAGTAGATTAAGATTAAGTATACATGTTTTGTTTCATATAGAAAAGAGATTTGTTATAATACGCGAGACAAATTTTTCGCGTGTTGGGAAGGGCACGACAATGTGTATGAAAGTTATACAATAAATAATGGGTTATATGTAACAGAATAAATACAAAATATGATAACTACATTGAAAAGATTAAGGCTGTCAGGAACTAAATGTTTACACTCAGAGTTCGAAACATTCATCCTGCATCGTGAACAGTCCTTGCTCTAGCAATTTCTATACTGGAAGATTTCTTCGCAAATTCCTAGAAATTTAAACAGTTAATTCATATAGCATCATGCTAAAAGTCTGAGTGATGCTTAGAAGAAACCCCTAAACATTCAATTCACATTTAAGTTACAGTTGTAACCTTTCAATTTGAATCCATAAAATATCCTTGTCGCATATGCTCTTGAAAGTAGGTTCATAGAACAATATTTTAGAGGCACAAAAGAGAAGAATTCACCATATATCACTTTATATCTCTTTAATACACTAAAATTCTTGCAAAGATTCGGTACTGTTGCAGACCACTATAGGAACATTCTCCCACTAGAAGAGCCCAATCACATCTTCATTTCTGTGTTGAAATTCAATGTAATATCTATGTAGAGTGCTGGGAGGCTTTATGAAGGAGTTAAGTATGGATGTTTACGATTTTGCCGTAGCTTTTAATTATATTATAAAAATAAATAAATATTCCATTATTGTTCACAAGGTCATTATGAGAGCATGGCCAAGAGTAACCACGGCTAATGAGGATAGATTTGAGTTGTTGTCTTTCTCTTTCAAGCATTACGCAGTTGAAGATATAATGAGTGCTCCCATCTTCAATTTTACAAGTTGGACATTCTTTATTGATGTATTCAGTAAATCTGTGTAGGTACTTGGCAAATTTACCATGATCGGTGAAAAATTGAGTGGACCAAAAACATGGTTTCATCCATGTGTATTTAAAGATATCTTTAATGGTTGGAAAAAATTTGTAAGTAATTTTACCCTCATTGCTGTTCCATTTTTGTTGCCAGTTGTTGAGCATATTGCTCCAAAGAAGGCCCTTGATAGTATTCAAGCTGACCTTGTTATAAGAAATTATAAGCTGATCATTATTAGCAGTGTGTTTAGCCAAGTGATCTGCTCTTTCATTGCCGCTAGTCCCCCTATGTGCCATTACCCACTTGAATTTATAGTCATTATTTGAATTTAGAACAAATTTTTAATAGCTGTAGACAATGGATGAGCTTTAGTGTTTTTAATTGTGGCCAATGAAGAAGCGCTGTCACTACATATTGTAATTCTTGTAAAGGAATAATTGTAAGCAGTGACAGTGGTACGAACAAAGTAATTGTTTATGAGCACAAGAAAAAGTGACGTAAGAGTCTTGGTGGTTGAAGAAGCTGTAGCAGTCACTAGGCCAGCTGTCGACAAGCACAGATAAACTTTGGTGGAAGTCGAAATGACACTTGAGACATTGTCGAAATGACAATGTCGACAGAAAGGCGAAAGTCTGTCGCCAAATCCTTTGTTCTGCCATGATTGAAATCACGTGGTACCTATTTGACAAACAGAGTGTTCCAGAGTATAACAGTCTTATGCAAGGTTTGTTGGTGCATGCAAAGTTTTCTTAAATTTTATTTTTTTATCCAATATCCTAATTTATATTGAATTGATACTACAGTGAACCAATAACTTTTTTTTTTGAAAAGTTACGTGCATTAATTGCAAGTAAATGAGAAGACAATTGTTTTTATTTTTCTCAAGAAAAGTACTCTAAAATACTTTCTGAAATGATTTCTGCTAAAACTAAGTGCAGCACACCTTTGGTTACAGACGATTAAAATGTTTTGACATTTTAAAAATTAATTGTACCATTAAAACCAGGATACCATTAAAACTTTCTGAAACTCACAGCAGAACAGGCCATGGAGGAAGAACACATATGCTTAAAGAATTGCATCTTAAATACAAAAATATTACATATGAAGTTGTAATGTTGTATTTAAATTTATGTAAACAATGTCAAATGAAACATAGTGCACCTAAAAAAGGTATTGTTGTGAAACCAATAGTCAGTTCGGAATTAAACGCAAGATGTCAAGTTGATCTGATAGACCTGTAGTCACACAAGGATGGCAAATATAAGTTCGTAATGGTGTATCAAGATCATTTAACGAAATTTGTCCAGCTACTACCTTTGAAAACTAAGACAGCTGAAGAAGTAGCATATCATCTTCTTCAAATATTTTTAACATTTGGTGCCCCAGCTATATTGCATTCAGATAATGGTAGGGAATTCTGTAATCAAGTCATATCTGAACTATGCGCTATGTGGAAAGATGTTGAGATAGTTAATGGAAAGCCTCGTCATAATCAAACACAAGGCTCAGTTGAAAGGGCCAATCAGAATATACAGAATATGTTAACTGCATGGATAATGATACAAATAAATGGTCAGATGGGTTGCCCTTTGTACAATTTGCCAAGAACACTACACATCACGAAGGAATATTCCAAAGTCCTTATGAAGCCATGTTTGGCATTAAACCAAAAAGAGGCATAGCATCGTCATCTTTGCCTGGCGAACAAATTGCAAATATTGAAACTGAAGAACAGCTTGAAGGAATTGTTAATACTTTTGAAGGAAATTTGAGCAGTGGCCATAACAAATACCATATTCCAAAGAAAAATATTGAAGAGGAGCTGCACCACTGAACAACATGAATTTATTTCTATAAAAAGAGTGGCCACGAAAGAGAATCTTCTACTGCAAGCAACAAAAATGTTACAAACCTCAAAAAGAAAATTTCCTCCTGCTCAAATTGGTTATACTGTACGAATACCCAAAATGTGTTGGCGGTTGTTGTTGGAATAGAAGACCCCAACTTTTATAAATTAGCAAACAAAAAAGGTACCCTCAAGCAGCTTTATATCTGCAATCAGTTCGTAATTTGTAAAGAAAAGTTACTTTCCATAGATGAGATTTCTTCTCAAGAAATATCGCTGAGAGAAGCAGCTGCAGCTAATTCGAAAAGTGGAAGGCAAGGATATACACGCTGTCATTGTGTTCCACAAATAAATGCAGTTGTAAAAGCAAGGAACTTTTGTGCAATTCAAAGTGCCATAACAGTTTAAGTTGTTGCAATAAATAAGATTGTATGACATTAATCACATAATATATGTGTAAGTTTACTATTGCGTATTATTTTTCTTTTCTGATTAAGAATGTACTGTTCGTTTTAGGTTCAACAGTTTATCTACATGTGCAGCCTATTTTGACATATTAAAAAGTTGCATTTTTGTCTTAATGTAATAAAAATATTTTTATTCAACATTCACCATCACTGCATGCTGAATGTCGACATTTGCTGGTGTAAGTGAGAAATAATGATATTTAGCAAATATTTCATATGTACACGACACGACTGTGTGAATGCTGACATTCACCAGATATTGGTCTTTCACAGTAACATATATATTATTTGTCACTTAAGTAATATAATTGTTTAAAGCAGTATCTCAAACTATGGACCATGAGACCTCAGTTGGTGGTTGAGAAACATTTAAATATTTTTAAAATAATTTTTAATACATTCAATTTAAATAGAAACAAAAGTACAATATAATGAAAATTGTTTCTTATGAAATAATTTTCTTTCACAAAATTGTAAAAAGTTTAACACTTTTAATTAAGAGGTACTAATACTGTAAATTAGTGGTTTGCAACCCATTTTCTGCAGAAAATCTGTGTTCTGCAAACTTTTCCTCAGTTTTCCACAAAAAACAATTTTTTTTAAGTTTTTATTTTGGATATTCATAGGCCATCTTAAGATTTTAAATTCATATGTTAATACAGTTGACCCTCCTATAACGTGGTAGATACGTTCCGCTTCATAAGAATTTTGTGTTGTAGGAATCCTTAAATACATGAGCCAATCACAGCCTGACACGTGTGAAGTTTATGGACTATGGCTGTTTGAAAGATTTTCTTCAATAAAATTAATCGATTCTAGACTAATTTGACTCAACACTTCCAAAACACGTATAATTTTTTGGGAATAATCCGTATAAACTATGCTACAAACAAAAAATTGTAGGATTACTTACTGAGTATGCACTGTTCGACCATGCCATTGCTTAAACTTGCTTTTGTCGCGGAGCAGTGCACCAAACAGCAGCTGCGTTTTCTGATAAGTTATTTTTCTGCGAAAAATTTGTTGAACTTTGGAGACATCATTAATAGAAATAATTTTTATGACTGTTGAATAAGAAATGTTTTTTCACAAGAAATGTATAAAATTACAGTACTGTATTAGACTTACAGTACCTAATTTAGGCCTATATACTGTATAGACAATAGTAAACTCAACTTACCCACTTAAACTCTCCCTAGCATGTAAGTAGTTCGGTTGCTCGTCCACTATTGGTCCAGATTCGACCAATCCTGTTGCGACACGAGTCAGTGATGACGTTTTACCACATTTTACGAGTCTCTTTTAGTGTCTTTATATGAATACAGTCGCAATTTTTTCGCCGTGATATACGAATCTACATTACATGAACCCGCGTTATAGGAGGGTCTACTGTAGGTTGAAAATGTTTGTTCAATAAACAAATTTTTTTTAAGCCAGTATTAGTGAATAATATTGTTGTATCTCTCTGCTTGAGTGCACTGTGTATGTAAAAAGCTATAGTGAATTTACTGATGATGATGATGATAAACAAGAAATATTTTTTCATCTCCTAAAACTTTTAAACAACTCCTAGAAATCCAGAAATTTAGTTTGTTCATTTAATTTATAATAATGGACACTCAGAACTTTAATACAAGAAAGATTTATATATATATATATAAAATCCATTAAATTAACTTCAGCTATATATTCTTTAGAATATGCTCTCTGTAGTTTAAGTTCTTTTTTTTCTTCTTTATGTTAGCAAATAAAGTAGGCAATATATAATAAGGTGTTTTGCATTATTTCAGAATTTTCAAATTTAGCAATATATAAACGTATTCAATATCATTGCAAATTAATATATATATAAAATTCTTATTGATATGATTCATTCTTAATTATATAAAAATAAACATATGCAAAATAATTTTTGTTTTTAGTCATGTCACAAAAATTGTTCAGTATGAACATCCGTGTGCCACTCAGTACGGTCAACAAAACTGCGGAATCCAACCGACACTGTCCATTGCTCAAACGAGGCAGCCTCCTCCGAGACATACCGATTTCCATCAGCATAATGTTTTAGTTCCTGCAAATCCATATTTAACAGAAGGTTTGAAAAATTTTTAAGCCAATTTTTTCGTTTAATAATGTACAAAATTTTTCTAGGTTAAAATTAAATGCTAAATTAGATTTAAATTTTAATATTAGCATATACTCTTTTACTTAGTTATTTCTAATCTAAATATGGTAATATTTACTTGAATAATCTGCACTCTTTTTCCAAAACATCATGACAAAGTAAGGGTGCATGGTTTATTTGAAACAAATTTGGCAATGCAACCTGTGAAATCGAGTGCTTCCAGTTACTAAGCATTTTTCTTATTTTGCTAGTGATAAATTTCACTTATCAACTGTTGATGACAGCTCAGTATGATTACCATCTATAGTCAATAGTTACAAACAATATTATTAAATGTTTTTGTGCAAGTAATTTTATGAAAATGAGTGTAAATAAAGTAAGTTAAATATATAACTGAAACTGACAGTAAATAAATTAAGATATTTAGGTATAAAGGATAAGTTATTTGTTTATTGGCAGTTTTTCATCTTCAGATTAAACTATGTAAATTACTTTCATTTTAATTAGTAAGTTAATTCATTATAAAATACTATATTGCATATAAATTGTTTGTATATCTAATACAGATAAAAATACCAAGGGAAAAAAATCATTTATCTTTTAATACCACTTGAACTTGTAAACAGAGTGCTGCCATATGGAATGCAACAAAACAGTGAGAAGGAAGGTTGCTATTGGGTTAGAATTATAAATTAGTAAAATTTGTTAAATATGTAATAAATTGGTCAAGCTTTTTCCTTTTTTTAAAGCAATATCTTAAAAGGGGGGTGCATGGATTATTTTGAGTAAATACAGTAAATAATTAAATTTAATAACAACTTTGATATGACAAAGAAATAAATATGATTTAAATTTCCTTTCAGAAATTCCTCATTGGCTTTATGTATATTCGAGAGCACCGCCAGAACTTGATTATAAGTTAAAGGTATTTTTTCCTCGTTATTCATTCTGCTGTTTTGCCACATAACTAAAACATTTGAACCAATTTTCTTTTTTAGTGGCAATTATTTCGTCTACCCGAATTAGACTGCTTTCAGGGAATGTTAAATAGATTGCATCGACAAGAATTAGAAGGTATAGTCATGAAATACGAAGCATATCGTCTGGCGTTACTTCGCGAGATGGAAAGAAGACTTATTGAACATCAGTAGCTTTTCTTAGGTTTTATTTTATTATGTAGCAAATATTTTATGTTTAGTTTTAGAAGGAATTAAGATTTAGCCACTTTAATGATTTTAATGGCATAAACTTTTAAATGTTGATGACATCTAAAAATATTTAGAAGTCTTAGAATGAAAAAAAGAGAGCATTTTATTGATAAAGAATTTATCACTATTATTTACATTGTTTTTTGAAGCAACAATCAGTTAAATTGTTTAGCATCTCTAATAATTGATTCCATCTAATTTTGTTGTTATTTCCATTCTAAATGACATAAAAGTGTTAGAAGTAGGTTTTATTTTTAGTTTTAATAAAAACTTGCAGAGAATTGCTATACCAGAATTTTAAGTTGTAAATCAAAGTTCAAAATAGGAATTCTACCAAAAAACTAAATTTCTGCTTTCATGATGATTAATTTTAGTATCTGTGACAAAACTTGTGTATTTTCTTGTGGGTTGTTTATATTATATTGCTATAAATGTGCCTTAGTATTTTGATGAAAAGTGATGTTTTTTCATGTTTTTCCAAAAATTTTACTTGCATTCAAGTGAAATTTAATTAGAAAAATTGTTAACTTGTCTCAAAATATTTCCGGATGATAATGGATATGTTAGAATGATCTTTAGAGAAGAAATGCCATTCATTTAAAAATTCATATTAACTCATTAATCTAAGTTTCAAAGAACATAAACTTAGAAAGCAATATAACTTTTTATGAAGAGAAGAAAAAAACATATTGAATCACAAAATTTAAACATAAACAGGATGTTTATTCAGAGTGAAAATATTGTAAAATGATGTTAGTGCTTTAGAACAATGAAAGTTAACATTCTGTGAAAATTCCATTACAGATTTTAAAAAAGATATGCAATAAGATTTGTTTAGGAAGGTTTATTAAAATGTTTGTTTGTATTCTAAACCCTTGCTCAACCAATTACCATTCATTTTATTTTAAATACTTGAAGATTTATTGCTTATCTTCAAACTCTGGTGTTGAATTTAATTGTAATTTATTGTGAAATTTATTTGCAATGTTTAGTACAACTTGTTTTCCACAGATATTAATAATATGCCACACAAGTTAGATAATTTGAAAAGTTGCATTTTCAATTATTAAACTTCAAATCAACGAAAGTTTATTGCATATAATAACTGTCGTAAAAATTTTTGTTTCTAGTGGAATTTTAAATATATTTATTACTGAAGTTAAAAAAAATTTACTATTAGCTGGATATTTTTTCTTCAAGCAGATGATCCTGAAAGATGCAATTGATTATAAATTAAACTTTAACACATTTACTGACAGAAAAAACTGCAAGTAGTATGGGAAATATTTTTTAATTGGATTTTAGCTTTGTGCTATTTTTATTGCAGAGAATTTATCCTCTGTACTATATATATATTGTCAGTTGTGATAAGATACTTATTTAAATTGATAAAACGTTGTGTCAAAGTTATTCCAGTTGACAATTCATTGATATGTAAGTATTATATGGAACCTATTTATCTTTGGCATCTTTCCAAAACATATGATCTAGATCAATTAATATTCTGAAAATGTAAATAACTAAAGCCATCATTAATATTTTTGAAGTATCTCGTGTGCACCTTTTGGAAACAAAAGTGTTTTTCTTATTCGTCTTCAATATTTGCTAAATTGTTATATCATAAATCTGCACTTAGATTAGTAATGGTGATAGAAAAAAATATTATAGTATCACAAAGCATATCTGAGATTGTTTTTTCAGTAGCATAATTATTTGAAATTTTCAGTAAGACTTTAAGATTCAAATTGCCAATTAGGCATTTACTTTTATTGACAAATGTGCAGAGTGCTTTTGAGCTGTGTGTCTACAGATCAAAATTTGAGTAGTTAGTATTTATTTACTATTGTACTGAATTATTATGACCTGTCTTCAATATATAGAATACAAAAAAAATTAAATTTTATTATAAACTGAATGTTATTCTGCAGAACTCAATTACTTATTACCAAAAATAGTGTGATAGAACTGTGAAAGTTACATATGTGCCTTTTGAAAAATTTTATTAAATTAACTAAAATGACTGATGCAACCAAATCCAAAGTCAATATTATGATTTGCTTTTGACTGTTACATCAATTGTAACAAAAGTCTTATTGTTAGGTAATTTTTTTCTTTTCCTTTATATTCTTTTATAGAATGCAATCTAGTTTTTATATTATAACTGCACTGCAAAATAAATCCAGTATTTCAACTGCAAAGTTATGTAATAAAATATATGCAAAGATGACAAAGAAATTTTAAGTATCTAATGTTTACAAGTTTATGAAAATACATTCTTACTTATGCATCAAATTCAATATATACAGTACAAAATCAATGCACTCTTCATTTAAATTTTATTCCTGTTTTTAACTATTGTATTTGTCAAAATGATAATTGTGTATATAATTTTCAAAGTATTGAAATTTAATCTAACATTCAAAAATATGCATACCTATTTTGGTAATGAAAATAGCAATATAATCAAGACGTAGTAAAAGGTTCTCTCGATTTTGGCACCGACTCCTAAGATGCTTTGTTACAGGATTTACGATTCTGGTAGAAGTTTTTTATATGTATATACATATTGGTGCCATATTTTAGAATTTAAACTGTAATAATTTGGTAGTTTTATAGGCAAAACTTTTCTATGTCACTCGATGCTTATAATGCTTTTTATCATCAATGAGTGGAGAGATAAATATGTAGTATTTATTAAAACTTAGATTCTTGACAATTAGCAGAGAAAATGTAGGATCTTAAAATTGCCATAGTTGACATTACTTCTGTAACGACATGAATAAAAATCTTTTAACACTGCGTTAGGTTTTCAAAGAATAGTAAACATGATGATTAATATAGAAATACATTGTAAATTTAGAGAACTAAAAATGTATTTTTCAAAACCCGACGAGAATGGCCACATTTCTTTCGACTCCAGAAGAAACGTGGCCATTCTTGTCGGGTTTTGAAAAATATGTTTTTTAGTTCTCTAAATTTAAGACGTATTTCTGGATTAATTGATATTATAAGCCAATCCGTGATAGTAAGATTTCAAGTTTCTATATTGTTAGCACTTTCTACAACACAAGATACCTGCGTAAACAATATAAATTTGCTAAGCTGCTCAAGTGCTATACATAAATTGGTTGTACTTTGTACTGTAAATTTTTATAAACTTGATATTTTTTATTTGTAAAAAGCTGGCACGAACTACTGGAAGATAGTTTGTAATTCTTGTTTAATGCAAGAGAAAAAAATTTGTATTTAAAATATCTGCTTTTGTATTATAATAATGCTTCTGTAAAAATATCAATTTTAATAAAAGTATTTTTTTAATTCTATACAAATTAAATTATGCTAAATATCTACAAATAATTGTGTGTTCATTGTGAAATCTTATTCTTTTCGTACTCTTCATACTGCTTGTTTATTTCCTCTTCGGTCAAATCATAAGTTTCGAGTCCGTGTTTACTTATTTTGATTAATTTTGTATTACCGAGTTCTAAGTTTTTTGCCATATATAAACCTAAAATTGAACAAAAAATTTCTGTATTTTTGTTTTTTTATATACAAGTAATAAATTTTTTTTATCTGTACTTACTTAATGGCATGGAGTCCGTTTGATCTTTGTTAGTATATAATTTATATACGACGTATCCAAATAAATTCCAAGCACAAATTGTATAGATTATATGCATTCTTCTTTGCCATAATTTTGCTTTACCATAAGGAATTGGAGCAAAATTTGTTCTGATAAATGTCCGTAACTTATGAAATAGCAGACCCATGTGTTACACCTGTAAAGAAAAATTATATTGTCACTTCGTATATATACCTTATGGATTTTGCCTGTTAAGAATAGACTTGACCCTAAATCTCCTGCAATAGCGGAATGATATTTTACAGATAATATGATTCAATAATTAACTTTCTTTTTGCAAGTTCATCTAGATCAGCGATTCCCAACCTGTGGTACACGTACCCCTAGGGGTACGCGATAGGTTGTTTAGGGGTACAGAAAAAAGTTAGTTATTATGGCAGAAAAAATATATTATGTATCACAAACTAATAGTATTAAAAAATTATTAGATAAAAAATGTTCCTTGCAACAATCACAACTTTATTNGCAAATTCCTAGAAATTTAAACAGTTAATTCATATAGCATCATGCTAAAAGTCTGAGTGATGCTTAGAAGAAACACTTAAACATTCAGTTCACATTTAAGTTACAGTTGTAACCTTTCAATTTGGATCCATAAAACATCCTTATCGCATATGCACTTGAAAGTAGGTTCATAGAACAGTGTTTTAGAGGCACAAAAGAGAAGAATTTACCATATATCACTTTATATCTCTTTAATACACTAAGACTCTTGCAAAGATTCGGTACAGTTACAGACCATTATAGGAACATTCTCCCACTAGAAGAGCCCAATCACATCTTCATTTCTGTGTTGTAATTCAATGCAATATCTATGTAGAGTGATGAGAGGCTTTATGAAGGAGTTAAGTATGGATGTTTACGATTTTGCCGTAGCTTTTAATTATATTATAAAAATAAATAAATATTCCGTTATTGTTCACAACGTCGTTATGAGAGCATGGCCAAGAGTAACCACAGCTAATGAGGATAGATTTGAGTTATTGTCTCTCTCTTTCAAGCATTACGCAACCGAAGATATAATGAGTGCTCCCATCTACATTCTTTATTGATGTATTCAGTAAATCTGTGTAGGTACTTGGCAAATTTACCATGATAGGTAAAAAATTGTGTGGACCAAAAACATGGTTTCATCCATGTGTATTTAAAGATATCTTTAATGGTTGGAAAAAATTTGTAAGTAATTTTACCCTCATTGTTGTTCCATTTTTGTTGCCAGTTGTTGAGCATATTGCTCCAAAGAAGGCCCTTGATAGTATTCAAGCTGACCTTGTTATAAGAAATTATAAGCTGATCATTATTAGCAGTGTGTTTAGCCAAGTGATCTGCTCTTTCATTGCCGCTAGTCCCCCTATGTGCCATTACCCACTTGAATTTATAGTCATTATTTGAATTTAGAACAAATTTTTAATAGCTGTAGACAATGGATGAGCTTTAGTGTTTTTAATTGTGGCCAATGAAGAAGCGCTGTCACTACATATTGTAATTCTTGTAAAGGAATAATTGTAAGCAGTGACAGTGGTACGAACAAAGTAATTGTTTATGAGCACAAGAAAAAGTGACGTAAGAGTCTTGGTGGTTGAAGAAGCTGTAGCAGTCACTAGGCCAGCTGTCGACAAGCACAGATAAACTTTGGTGGAAGTCGAAATGACACTTGAGACATTGTCGAAATGACAATGTCGACAGAAAGGCGAAAGTCTGTCGCCAAATCCTTTGTTCTGCCATGATTGAAATCACGTGGTACCTATTTGACAAACAGCAGTGTTCCAGAGTATAACAGTCTTATGCAAGGTTTGCTGGTGCATGCAAAGTTTTCTTAAATTTTATTTTTTTATCCAATATCCTAATTTATATTGAATTGATACTACAGTGAACCAAGAACTTTTTTTTTTTGAAAAGTTACGTGCATTAATTGCAAGTAAATGAGAAGACAATTGTTTTTATTTTTCTCAAGAAAAGTACTCTAAAATACTTTCTGAAATGATTTCTGCTAAAACTAAGTGCAGCACACCTTTGGTTACAGACGATTAAAATGTTTTGACATTTTAAAAATTAATTGTACCATTAAAACCAGGATACCATTAAAACTTTCTGAAACTCACAGCAGAACAGGCCATGGAGGAAGAACACATATGCTTAAAGAATTGCATCTTAAATACAAAAATATTACATATGAAGTTGTAATGTTGTATTTAAATTTATGTAAACAATGTCAAATGAAACATAGTGCACCTAAAAAAGGTATTGTTGTGAAACCAATAGTCAGTTCGGAATTAAACGCAAGATGTCAAGTTGATCTGATAGACCTGTAGTCACACAAGGATGGCAAATATAAGTTCGTAATGGTGTATCAAGATCATTTAACGAAATTTGTCCAGCTACTACCTTTGAAAACTAAGACAGCTGAAGAAGTAGCATATCATCTTCTTCAAATATTTTTAACATTTGGTGCCCCAGCTATATTGCATTCAGATAATGGTAGGGAATTCTGTAATCAAGTCATATCTGAACTATGCACTATGTGGAAAGATGTTGAGATAGTTAATGGAAAGCCTCGTCATAATCAAACACAAGGCTCAGTTGAAAGGGCCAATCAGAATATACAGAATATGTTAACTGCATGGATAATGATACAAATAAATGGTCAGATGGGTTGCCCTTTGTACAATTTGCCAAGAACACTACACATCACGAAGGAATATTCCAAAGTCCTTATGAAGCCATGTTTGGCATTAAACCAAAAAGAGGCATAGCATCGTCATCTTTGCCTGGCGAACAAATTGCAAATATTGAAACTGAAGAACAGCTTGAAGGAATTGTTAATACTTTTGAAGGAAATTTGAGCAGTGGCCATAACAAATACCATATTCCAAAGAAAAATATTGAAGAGGAGCTGCACCACTGAACAACATGAATTTATTTCTATAAAAAGAGTGGCCACGAAAGAGAATCTTCTACTGCAAGCAACAAAAATGTTACAAACCTCAAAAAGAAAATTTCCTCCTGCTCAAATTGGTTATACTGTACGAATACCCAAAATGTGTTGGCGGTTGTTGTTGGAATAGAAGACCCCAACTTTTATAAATTAGCAAACAAAAAAGGTACCCTCAAGCAGCTTTATATCTGCAATCAGTTCGTAATTTGTAAAGAAAAGTTACTTTCCATAGATGAGATTTCTTCTCAAGAAATATCGCTGAGAGAAGCAGCTGCAGCTAATTCGAAAAGTGGAAGGCAAGGATATACACGCTGTCATTGTGTTCCACAAATAAATGCAGTTGTAAAAGCAAGGAACTTTTGTGCAATTCAAAGTGCCATAACAGTTTAAGTTGTTGCAATAAATAAGATTGTATGACATTAATCACATAATATATGTGTAAGTTTACTATTGCGTATTATTTTTCTTTTCTGATTAAGAATGTACTGTTCGTTTTAGGTTCAACAGTTTATCTACATGTGCAGCCTATTTTGACATATTAAAAAGTTGCATTTTTGTCTTAATGTAATAAAAATATTTTTATTCAACATTCACCATCACTGCATGCTGAATGTCGACATTTGCTGGTGTAAGTGAGAAATAATGATATTTAGCAAATATTTCATATGTACACGACACGACTGTGTGAATGCTGACATTCACCAGATATTGGTCTTTCACAGTAACATATATATTATTTGTCACTTAAGTAATATAATTGTTTAAAGCAGTATCTCAAACTATGGACCATGAGACCTCAGTTGGTGGTTGAGAAACATTTAAATATTTTTAAAATAATTTTTAATACATTCAATTTAAATAGAAACAAAAGTACAATATAATGAAAATTGTTTCTTATGAAATAATTTTCTTTCACAAAATTGTAAAAAGTTTAACACTTTTAATTAAGAGGTACTAATACTGTAAATTAGTGGTTTGCAACCCATTTTCTGCAGAAAGTCTGTGTTCTGCAAACTTTTCCTCAGTTTTCCACAAAAAACAATTTTTTTTAAGTTTTTATTTTGGATATTCATAGGCCATCTTAAGATTTTAAATTCATATGTTAATACAGTTGACCCTCCTATAACGTGGTAGATACGTTCCGCTTCATAAGAATTTTGTGTTGTAGGAATCCTTAAATACATGAGCCAATCACAGCCTGACACGTGTGAAGTTTATGGACTACGGCTGTTTGAAAGATTTTCTTCAATAAAATTAATCGATTCTAGACTAATTTGACTCAACACTTCCAAAACACGTATAATTTTTTGGGAATAATCCGTATAAACTATGCTACAAACAAAAAATTGTAGGATTACTTACTGAGTATGCACTGTTCGACCATGCCATTGCTTAAACTTGCTTTTGTCGCGGAGCAGTGCACCAAACAGCAGCTGCGTTTTCTGATAAGTTATTTTTCTGCGAAAAATTTGTTGAACTTTGGAGACATCATTAATAGAAATAATTTTTATGACTGTTGAATAAGAAATGTTTTTTCACAAGAAATGTATAAAATTACAGTACTGTATTAGACTTACAGTACCTAATTTAGGCCTATATACTGTATAGACAATAGTAAACTCAACTTACCCACTTAAACTCTCCCTAGCATGTAAGTAGTTCGGTTGCTCGTCCACTATTGGTCCAGATTCGACCAATCCTGTTGCGACACGAGTCAGTGATGACGTTTTACCACATTTTACGAGTCTCTTTTAGTGTCTTTATATGAATACAGTCGCAATTTTTTCGCCGTGATATACGAATCTACATTACATGAACCCGCGTTATAGGAGGGTCTACTGTAGGTTGAAAATGTTTGTTCAATACACAAATTTTTTTTAAAGCCAGTATTAGTGAATAAGATTGTTGTATCTCTCTGCTTGAGTGCACTGTGTATGTAAAAAGCTATAGTGAATTTACTGATGATGATGATGATAAACAAGAAATATTTTTTCATCTCCTAAAACTTTTAAACAACTCCTAGAAATCTAGAAATTTAGTTTGTTCATTTAATTTATAATAATGGACACTCAGAACTTTAATACAAGAAAGATTTATATATATACAGTCGATCCCCCTATAAGATCATTGATTTTTCCGTTTTATCTGAATTACATGTTGTACGAGTCACTTAGATTTTACAAATA